AAAATAAAAGTGTAAAGAGCACCTTAAAAATGTAAAAATGAGAGAAAAATATTAATGTTTCTCTCCTAGATACATTAGTGTTGCTGATGTATGGAGTCAAAATTTTAGCAAAAATCTATCTGGGCATTCAAGTACAAAGTAAATTATATGATGTGCTAGGTAATATTCCTCTACTTTGTAATGTATTAATGTGAGGAGCTGCAGCTTATATTGTTAAGATCTGATAAGATATGTAAACATAACTGTATGACTCTGTGTGTGTGTATTGTTATTAGAAGGAAACAACATTTTCTGTCTTATTTTATTATTGCATAGTAATTTTCGTAACTTGTCAAATGACTGCAGTTCTAAATTAATTTTTGCTATAATGTGCATCAAATGTTGATATTTATGTTTGAGCTGCACTTTTTAAATCCATTTTATTTACACTATACTACAGTAAACGGCTTTGAGTATCTTAAAAAGGCGTTGTTAAAAATGTAATGCATTATCATTTCTATTGTATAAAAACATTTAATATTGTGTGAAAGGGCAATAATTCTTTACAGTCATTTCAGAAAGTGAAACTCATGTATTATATATAATCATATGTAGTGGTGTAAATGAAGAGATCTTCATTCCTGGAGCTACTTTTACTGAAGTCGCTGTATACCACTTTAAGAGCATTTTTGCACTTTATCAACAAGTACTTTATTTAGCACCGCACTTTAAGCATCAATAACAATTTGCACACAAGAAGTTTTAATTGCATTTATTGAGTATTTTCAGTGATTAGCATGTAGCCTTTTGCTCTGGGCTCTGCACAGCTGCTCCTCATTGAGAAGTGAGGTCTTTGCCTGTGAAGGGAGGATCATTGTTACTCAGAACAAGGAGCTACTGGTGGGTAAAACTTGAGAAAATGTTTGTGCATAATATGTTAAGTGTGCAGGTGCTGCCATGGAGTGGCTCACCTGTCTTTTCTGTGTCCTCTGCAGGGGGTTTGGACAAAAGCTTCCCTGGGGGTCCAGACACCATTTATAGGTTCCAGGAGAGGCCATGGAAAAATTGTTCATGGGTTTTTGTTGTGTTTCATAATGGTGTAAGGATAAAACATTAAATATTTATAAAAAAAGTAAATAGAAATGTGTTTGTATTTGGTAAAAAGGTATTTGGTATTTATCTATAGAGGTGGAATTTGGTAGATGTGATTTAAAAGGTGGTTTGGTCCTTCACTGCTGGGACTATTTAAAGCTGCAGTTTCACCTGTGGTTTTATTTTTATTTTTTTGTTCTTGATGCTGTGTGTGAAGAATAAACCTTTGCTGTTTCCACCTTACTCGATTTCATCTCCACTGTAAATCCAGCCACAAAAGGCAAAGGTAGTTTTGATGACTATGACTTACAGGCAATCAAACCCCCAAATTCAGTGTCTGAAAATTTGAGTACTGTGATAAAAAGCCATTAATGAAACTTCATGGAGTTACCCCCCCTTCATCAGATACTGAACTCAAAACAACAGCAAAGCCTGCAAAGCCTTCTGCACCTTTAAACCGTTGTGACTCTGGGTCAGTCGGCTACACAATCAGGGGAAGACTGCCGTCCAGAAGACAATCGTTGTCACCCTTCACAAGGATGGGAAACCACAAAAGGTCATTGCTGAAGAAGCTGGTTGTTCACAGACTTCTACATCCAAGGATATTAACAGAAAACTGAGTGAAAAGAAGTGTGGTAGGAAAAGATGCACCAGCACCAGGGAGAACCGCAGCTTTGAGAGAATTATCAAGTGAAATATATTCCATTTCACCCCCTGGTCACAATAGAAATACTTTACTTTCAAAGACTCCAGAAAGTGTACCGATTCAATTTTCAGTTAATGCGCAGCTAATATTGACAGAATAGTATTTGGGGGATAAAAAACGTATGCAGTATCACATGTTTAGAGTAAATTATCTCATGACCAGAGCTGTCAGCGGTATTACAAGAAAATGGAAGTGTTTGGGAACAACAGCAACTCGGCCAAAACATGGTAGGCCACGTAAACTGACGGAGTGGGGTCAGCGTATGCTGAAAGCGCATAGCGGTCACCAACTTTCTGCAGAGTCAATTACTACAGACCTACAAACTTCATGAGCCTTCAGATTGGCTCAAGAGCAAAGTAATCCTAAATGTTGCCTTTGTGTTAGCACCAAGCCGACCACGCCTCAATACCTTGAAGGAAGTTTATAATCTTACTTTTTATTTCACATAATTTATTTTAAATGCATGAATTATTTTTTTGTATTTTTTAATGTTTTATTTTGTATGTATGCTATTTCGAACATCATTTTACCGATGCAGTTCAAACGAAAATGTCTCATAATTTCTAAAAGTGTGCAGAGAGAGCTTCATGATATGTGTTTCCATGGTGGAGCAGCTGCATCCAAGCCATACATCACAAAGTGCAGAGCAGAGCGTGGTGTAAAGCCCGCCACCACTGGACTCAAGAGCTGTGGAGGCACATTTTCTGGAGTGACGAATTGTGCTTCTCCACCTGATGAGTCTGGGTTTGGCGGCTGCCAGGAGAACGACACTAGTCTGACTGCATTGTACCAAGTGTAAAGTTTGGTGGAGGGTGGATTATGGTGTGGGGTTGTATTTCATGAGCTGGGCTTGATCCCTTAGTGCCAGTGAAAGGGACTCTGAATGCTTCAGCATACCAAGACATTTTGGACAATTCCATGCTCTCAACTTTGTGGGAACAGTTTGGAGCCGGCCCCTTCCTCTTCCAACATGGCTGTGCACCAGTGCACAAAGCAAGGTCCATAAAGACATGGTCCAGATGGCAGAGTCTGGTGTGGATGAATTGGACTGGCCTGCACGGAGTCCTGACCTCAACCCGATAAAACACCTTTGGGGTGAATTAGAGGAGAGGCTGAGAACCAGGCCTTCTTGTCCAACATCAGTATGTGACCTCACTATGCGCTTCTGGAGGAATGGTCAAAAATTCCCATAAACACCCCTAAACCTTGTGGACAGCCTTCTCAGAAGAGCTAAAGCTGTTCTAGCTGCAAAGGGTGGACCAATGTCATTGAACCCTATGGATTAGGGATGGGATGTCACTTAAACTCATGAGTCAAGGCAGGTGAGCCAATACTTTTGGATATATAGTGATTTGCTTACATGGTAAATGTGGTAACATCTTGATCTGCATGGATAGATGAAGCAAAGCATGAAAGGAAAGCCATTACTCTGCACTCTCGTTTAAGGAATTGTACCATGTGTCATTCAGAGGCACTTTACTCCTTTGTGTATGCTGCCATAATATTTCACCACTGTGGGATCTAAAGTGCAACATTCTGATTCTCTGTGAGTCATGGTAGAAATTGCTGCACATCATTAGAATTTGAATCAATGATGTTCATTTGCTGATGTTATAATTAAGCAGAATTTATTTAACTGTGCACAGTGTGTTAAATATTGCTATTTGAGAATAAAAAAAAAGAAAACATTTTAATGAATTGTTCTGGTGTTTTTCTAACTTTGGTGATATTATGTCTGTTTCCTACATAGATTCCTACTTTTTTTTTTTTAAATGAAACTATTTGTTTGTAAAATCAAAAGTTCTGGACGTACAATGACAAAAACACAATGAAAATCAACCCTAAAGTGGACACTGAAACAAAACATGGTTTGCCTCCATGGCTCAGTGGTATTAGTAGGTATGAATTCACCCTGAATGGCAAACTTCATGGTTCATCTGTTGTTTTTGATGTATTTTAGTGATTGCTATAAACCACGACATACAGGCCAGACATTGTTACATTATAGTTTTGGGTTCTTTCCTTTGTATAAATCAAGATATAAAAAAAAAAAACAATGTTCTGTTTCTCCAGAAGATATTTGGAAATGTTCCAGAAAAGTCACCGTTATTTTTATGTGAACGAGATCTAAGAACCTTGAAGTTTACTTTTATGTGATTACAGAAAACAAAAAGCACACAAAAACAGACAATCAACAACCTCACATGTCAGTTCTTAATAAAACAGTAATGTGCAATATGAAGCAAAAAAAAAAAAAAGTTTTAAAAATATTACAAAAACAAGCCACATTTTAACGGCGAAAAATCAAATGATACAAACTCCTCTGGTTTAGATTTTACTCTCTCCTTTTTATTGCTCTGCATAGTTTGGAGATATATTAATTGGGGAAAGCATTGAGGGATACTTTCTCAATATCTGTTCAATGTTAAGAATCATTTTTTTTTTTTTCAGCGCATTGACTGCTGAGAAATTCATGTTTCTGAAAGTCACACTGGGCCTGACACAAAGGCAGCTCAAACCACATGCAAGAATTGTGAAAAGTACTTGTGTTTTAGTCTGCCTCCGACTTTCCTGTCAAACCAGGTTCAAACGGGTGTAATTTAAGGCTGGAAGCATTTGGCATGTCTTTTCATACAGGGAGGGAGAGGGAGAGGTGGGCTCTTCCCCAGCAAAGGCCAATAATAAAGAACCAACATGCAGTCAAAGACCAATAGAAGTGTCTTAATAAAGCATTTACTGCTTTGATAGCAGCTATTATTGTGTTATGCTGTTTTCAAAAGCTTTTCTGTGATAGAATACATTTCTGTCAAGGACTACAAAGGTCATGTATGGTGATGTTTACTCCCACAGAGGTAAAGGATTGGCTCTGAAAGTAGACATACAGTACGCACACAGAGAGAACGTGTGACTGTGACGAGGAGGCTATGTTCTGTTGCCATGGCTTTACGGGCAGAGAGTCTCAGTCTCATCACAGCAGGAAATGGTCCGTCAGGCTGACTCGCTGATGACAATTTTTCAGACGTACGGCATTAAGACTTGATAAAGGAGCGAAGGATCCTGTAATTTTCTGCACTTTTGCAGACTTCTGTGATAGTTTTAACCTGTTGGTCTCAGGTTGTCATTCAACAGGGGTGTCAAACTCCAGTCCTCAAGGGCCGCTGTCCTGCAGTGTTTAGATGTGCCACAGGTAAAAAAAAACAGTGGAATGAAATGGCTTAATTACCTCCTCCCTGTGTAGATCGGTTCTCCTGAGCCTTGCTAATTCCCTAATTATTCTTTTCAGGTGTGGTGCAGCAGAGGCACATCTAAAAGTTGCAGGACAGAGGCCCTTGAGGACTGGAGTTTGACACCCCTGTCACTAGAGGACCCAAATTTGGGTCCTCTCGTGACAGACAGGTTAAATACTGACACTGCTGCTTTTCATTCTAATTTTCTCTGCTTCTGTTTAAGGACAGGAGGGAGGTCATTGGAAGTGCACTTAGCCAGTGGCAGAGCTACATAAGCTTCACACAGAGGCTAATTCACAGTGCAGCCCTCCACCATCAAAGTGCTCGGCTGTGGATTTAA